GTTAGAATATTAGTATTAATTTTAAAATATTATATTCACATTGTAATTGATTATATACATTTAAGTTAATTGGTTTTATACCTAGAAATATTCTATTGTATAGTTTTATACCTAAGAATATTCTATTGTATAAATATATATAGTATCTTTTGTATATACAATGAAAACAAGAAAGCAATAAATCTTTCTTCAAATTATTCTTTTTCTTTTCTGTTTCCAATATGGTATCAGAGTTATAACGTCTTGGTTTTTTTCTTTTATCATTGCTGTTTGGTTTTTAGAGTTGGATTTTCAAATTTATTACAGATTTGAAACTTTGTCATTAGGATCTCTTATACAGATTAGATTGTTTATTCTCAATTTTTAGGCTCTTTTTGAGGTATTTTGTTAGGTTGTTATTTCAATCTTAACATCTTATTTCTTCATATTTTTAGAGTTTTGTAGTAATGTGAGTTTTACTGATTCTATGGTGAGTTTTGAAAAGACTGTAACTCATCTTGCTACTGTTGTAGTTGCCAAAGAAATAATAGACCAACCTAATGCCAACCTTAAATCCCTAAAACAAGTGATATTAAATCTTTTTAATGTTCCTACCTTATTTACTACTTCAAGTACCAAACCTTAGTATTTCGATTCTAGTTATTGTGACCATATATCTTCAATTACTGCTCATTTCTCTTTAATGTCACCAAATAATTCCTTTCCTAATATTTATTCTGCTAATGGTTTTTCTATAAATGTTAGTCACATTGGTAATATTTCTACGAAATCATTGACTTTACCAAATGTTCTCTTAGTTCCAAAACTTAGTATTTGTTGGTCAATTATGTGATCTTGCCCTTGAAGTAACATTTTCTGCTCATGGTTGTCATGTGTAGGACCCCTAGACAGGACAACTTCTTGGAACTAGTCATAAGGTAAGGTGTATGTTTGAGCTCAATTATTTGCATATTCCACATCATAAAATGGACATACCATCATTTCCAAATGATTGCTTCATCTAAACCTTACTCTGTGCTGTCGAATTAGAGTCTTTACAAATTCCATACCAGCAAATCTTGCAAGCTTATGCTGTTACTAACATTTCTCCTCTTTAGTTATGGCACTCATAGCTCAAACATACCTCAGTCGGTAAACTTTGTCCACTTATCTCTTGTGGTTTATCAGGATCTATTCCAAATGAATCATTGCATTGTGTGTCATGTCAATCTGCAAAGCAACCAACTTTATCATTTTCGAGTAGTCATTCTCTTTCTAATGCTCCTTTTGATCTCATACATTCTAATGTTTGGGGTTTATCTCCTACACCCACATAGGGGGTTCTAGGTACTTTGTGGTATTTATTGAAGACCATACTCATTTTACCTAGATATATTTTATAAAAAATCGTTATAAGTTATTATGAATTTATATTGATTTTACTACCATGGTCAAAACTCAGTTCTCTAAAATTATCAAAGTTTTGAGAACTAACAATGCTACTGAATATCTTAGTACTAAACTTCAATCCTTTCTCAAAGAACATGGTACATCGACATAACAATCTTGTCCTTACACCTTTTCATATGATGGCTACTTGCTTTCTCAAGTACAATATGCCTCCGATCTTATTTCTAAAGTTGAACTCAATGATAGCAAGAGTGGTTCTACACCTCTTAAACCTAATGTCAAGCTCACACTTATGGATGGCTCTCCACTTTCTGATCCTACTCACTATCAATAATTGGTTGGTAGTCTAGTTTATTTTATCATGACAGGCCCTGACATAGCATATGCAGTTCACATTATTAGTCAGTTTATGGTTACTCCTCGTTCCACTCATTACGCAGCAGTACTTCGCATTATTTATTATGTTAAGGGAACATTGTTTCATTGACTTGATTTTTCTACTAACTCCTCCCCTATGCTTCATGCTTATTTTGATGCTGATTGAGTTGGTGATCCTTCTGATCACAGATCTACCATTGGTTATTGTCTTTTCCTTAGTAATTCTCTTATCTCTTGGCGGAGTAAGAAACAAACTATTCCATCTCGTTTTAGTACTGAAGCTGAGTACAGAGCTCTTGGTGATACCACATTAGAACTTCTTTCATTACGATGGTTTCTTGAAGATATAGGCATTCCTCACCCTTCTTCTACTAATTTATATTGTGATAATCAAAGTGCTATATAGATTGCTCAATGATGTCTTCCATAAACGCACAAAGCATATCGAAGTTGATTATCACTTTATTCGTCATCACGTTGCAAAGGGAATTGTTTGTTTGATTTTGACTAGTTCTACTGATCAACCTGCTGATTTGTTTTCCAAGGCTCAATTCTTTGGGTGCTTCCAAACTCCTCTTTCCAAACTCAAGTTGGTTTCCTCACCACCACCTTGAGTTTGCGAGGGGATGTTAGAATATTAGTATTTATTTTAGAATATTATATTCACATTATAATTGATTATATACACTTAAGTTAATTGGTTTTATACTTATGAATATTCTATTGTATAGTTTTATACCTATAAATATTTTATTGTATAGATCTATATATAGGAGCTTTGTATATATAATGAAAACTAGAAAGCAATAAACATTTCTTCAAATTATTCTTTTTCTTTTCTATTTCCAACAATAACTTGAGGCATTTTTCCCTTGATCCAAATATAAGACCTTATTGAACCAGCTCAAGAACTCTATTTCCCACGCTCCATTTCTGAATATTACTTCATTTTTGTGTAACCACAAAGTCCAAAATGCAACAAGCATAATACTTGCTCTTACCAGCCAAAGTCTTTTCCTTGCGTCTCCAAATACAAAAGCATTCCAAAAACTTGTTATGTCACCCATCTGCACATAATTCGCGCCAAGCCAAGCTTAACTTAAAAAAATAAAAAATAAAATAAAATAAAATAAAATAAACAGAGGAGAACTCTCACGAAATGAACAAACTATTGCTATTATCCGAAGAACTCAAATGAAATGAACAATTGAATAGCATCCATGATTTCTTTTCATGTTTCCTTTCGAGAATCGAGATTTTCTGCCTTCTAATGCTTCTTGATTTCTTGAACTGAATCCGTTATTTTCTCTGATACCAATCGATATATATGGAATGTGAGGATTGTAACACGTCTCTTTTGTTGAATGGAAGAACATATGCTTTGTAAAATTTCATTTTCAAAAGTTGAATTAACCAGGCATGCACTTAAGGATAATGACACTACATGGAAAAGGTAAAAGTAGAAATTTAGGAATCATAGGGATAGTGGGAAGATACTCCGGCGAATCCGGGAACAAATAGAGCGCCCATCCTTCCTCTTCTTTTATAATTGTGAAGGGGACAGTAGCTAACGGAAAAGATTGAACTTGCGAAGAATGGTTTATTATTTTTTTTTTTTTCTGTTTTTGTTTTCATTTTTATTTATTATTAAGATATTCAGAGTCAATTTTTATACACTTTAAAACTAATTCATCTCAAGTAATTTTAAGAGTGCATATTTACATTAATTAATTTAGTACATTTAAAAAAATTAATATCTTTGTGTATTGATTCTAAAACCTAAATTTTAAACTTAATTTACAAAATTAACACTTATTTACCAATAAATTAATCTACCCTAGGTATGGAAGAACGTTTCTTTTATCTCTTTTTCCCCTTTCTTGTTTTGGGTCCCTTTCTCACAATTTACTTGAATCTTCTTTATATCCACACCCCTCGTATCTGAAAAGAAATATGTCATGCTAATAAATTTGACTTAAGCTTTTGAACGTATCATCCAATCAATTTAGTCTCCTCTTATTGGTCCCCAATGAAGTTGGTGTTACTATTATTATTATATATCTACTGCGTCGATTGTGCTGCCCATTAATGGAGTGAATTATTTGTATTGTCTTTGTTTTACAAGTTTACCATAAAATGTCTGGGAGGCATTGAACCTGCGACAAGGCATTAAATGAGGCAAATTAAAGAGATGTACACCTGAGTCCTTACTAATTACATGTCAAGTTCACATACAAGTGTACTGATCATAAATCTTATGTTGGAGAGATGTAATGAGAATTAAGATTA